CATGCATAATTTACTTTTCGCATTGGTATATTGCTAGACTTCAAGCTTGCAGTACAATTAAAAACGTGGATTATTTATTATAGTCCCATTTGCTGAAAATTCAGATTTTAGTATGAAGCAACAGAGAGTTGGATAAATCAGAAATTTCAATTTAGGTCTTGTTTGAAATACATTATTGTGAGAAATTGTAAGTTTAAGTGACTAAAATTGATTTCTGTAATGCTTTTCAAATGCACTGAAAATCTTTAGAGCAGTTTTAAGTATCAACAGAAAATAATGTTTAGTTACTTTACCTGATCTCCCTCTTTGGAGAAGACAATTCTTGTGCCTTCTTTCCATCCAGGACTGACATCTATAGAGAGGACCTTGTCCTTGATACTGGATGTGTATCCACCCTCATTCATAACCTGTTCAAGAAATGATTAGTTAAATGTAACAAGTAGTTGATTTGTGTCCATGAGTTGCTTTCAGTGTAACTATTGGATGTTTGAATGATTCGACCACTGAAAAACTGTGTAATTTAAAAGGATATCTCACATACAGATGTTCTTACCTTGCGATATATCTTAATCTTTTTTGTGCACCCGTGGAACAGATCATCCAGGGACAAATGAAGGTCTCTCTCTATTGGGGAGTCTTGTGTCTTCACCACCACTGGTTGTAGGCCACCAAACTGAAGTGGTGCATCATTTGTATAGAAGACTATTGATAAATAAATTAAGCAAAACAAAATCTGAGCAACGTTTCTGGTATTAAGTTTGACACACATATTTACTGTACGCCATTTGTTTCCTTTTTTTTTCACCTGCAAATGGGTTGTCACCTCCAAAGAACTGTTTAAATGTTTTTTCTGGATTCCCATGGTAGGCATATTTAGATGACCAGGCCCCACCGCTGCCAAACTCAGGTGGAATCCCACCCTTTAGTCCTTCCTCACCAAACTTGTCATAGGTTGCCTTTTTCCGAGCTGTAACAAAGAAAACAAATGTTGACACAGTCTGTTAGTACACTGTGGTAAAATGTGGACAGTTTTATAGATACACAAACTAAACTCTTTACTTGTACAGTAATTTTTACTATACACACTTTGGTAATTTAAAAGTTAATCTTTCTTTACACCAACTTCAGTCTGTGAAATGTGAGACATGAAGTGTAATGTTTTGTATTAGTAATAATTTGTTCATCTTGATATAAGAGCAATGAGGTTGTTTAGGTGGTAATGTTATCTCCCCTATCCATTTGTTGGTTTGTTTGTTTGTTTGTAAGTAGGATTACACACAAACTGCTGAATGGATTTCCAGAACACTTGGTGGAAGGATGTGTTATGAGTCTGGTAAGAAACAATTCAATTTTGGCATAATATATGGTGTTTTTCTAAATGTTCCTTTATTCCTGAGAGAAATAGAAAAAGCACCCAGTGGAGCGTATGCCTCCACCAATTCCCCTTCAATCCAATCACGCTGCACCACATCACACATATAAACATCAGTCCCCTGACCTTTTTCATCAACATCCATGAATTATTCTATGAGAAAATGTCCAATCTTACAACGTTTAAGACATTTAAAGAAGATCAAATTTAAATGTTCTGAGTGCCATTCTTTGTTAAATTATTTCTGTTATGTTTTATTCTACTTTAGCTGTGTGTTCATCTTTAACCACTGTTAAATTACTTTCTTTAAATAACCTAAAACAGACTCGTAACTCTAACCACTGATTTTGAGTTGATTTGTTCCAGTAAAGTTTACACAATACTGTCTTTGTTAACAATCAAAGCCCTTCAATATCAAAGAGCTCATAACTCTGTACTGTCCCAATAGATCACTTCACTCCCGCAGTACAGGCTCTCTTGTTATTCCTAGAGTCTGTAAAAATAGAATGGAAGATGGAGCCTTCAGCTACCAGGCTCCTCTCCTGTGGAACCAGCTCCACACCACCTCTGAATTTAAGGTTAAACTTAAAATGTTACTTTTTGATAAAGCCTATTGCTAGTTCTGGATCAGGTGAGTCCTGAACCATCCCTTAGCTATGCTGCTGTAGGTTTAGACTGCTGGGGAAATTCCCATCATGCACTGAGATCTTCTCCCCTTATTCCGCTCCCTGCCCTCATATTCATTTATTTATTTCACCACATGTCACTGACTGTGTTTTTCCCTCCTATAGTCCCTCTCTCTGTGTCTCTCTTTCACTGTCTCTATCTTTCTCTGTCTCTCTTGAATGACTAAGCTAACATCCGATATAAACCAACCTCAGCCTCACTCTTCTGGTTACTTACGGTCACTGAGAACCTCGTAGGCTTCACCTAATTGAATTAACCTGTCTGTGCTTCCTGCTTCTTTGCTGCTCTTTGGGTGAAACTTCAACGCAAGACGTCGATATCTGGCAAAATAAAACACCTGATATTAAACAAGTGTGACTGGTTTCAAATTTTCAGGGTTGTACTTTAACGAGAGAGACCTACGCCTTTTTGATATCTGTGTCTGTGGCGCTCCTGTTTATCTCCAGTGTTTTGTAGTAGTCGTCAGCCATGGTAGAAGTAAATGCGGTAATGGCAAGCTCAAATCATGGCAACAGTAGCTCATATAGGCACTTCCAATTGCCTGTTGCCACACTGTTTAAAGGCAGCTGCCTTTGTTGCCACACTGTTTAAAGGCAGCTGCCTTTGTTGCCTTTGTTGCCACACTGTTTAAAGGCAGCTGCCTTTGTTGCCTTTGTTGCCACACTGTTTGGGCATCTGCCTCTTTTGCCACACTATCGAAAGTTTATTAGGTAGTTTGTTAGCTCTCTCTTTCTTCCTCTCCTGTCCACATATTTCAATCTTCTGTCCCTGTGTTGATCAAAATAACTCTGGAAAATGGTTGGATTTGAACCTGCTGAGGTGCCTCTGTCAGCAGCTGTGAAGTTTTTTGGAGCAGGAACTGCAGCTTGTATCGCTGACCTGCTCACCTTTCCCCTGGACACAGCCGAAGTGCGACTGCAGGTACAAAAAATAAGTTAATATGTATGTTAACATATGTCAACTTTCCATCAACACTTCATACATGTGCACATATACACTCCCCGGCCACTATATTAGGTACACCTTGCTAGTAGCTGGTTGGACCCCCTTTTGCCTTCAGAAGTAGATTCAACAGGGTGTTGGAAACATTCCTCCAAGATTTTGGTCCATATTAACACGACTGCATCGCGCAGTTGCTGCAGATTTATCAGGTGCACATCCATAATGCAAATCTCCTGTTCCACCACATCCCAAAGATGCTCTATTGGATTGAGATGTGGTGACTGTGGAGGCCATTGGAGTACAGTGAACTCATTGTCATGTTCAAGAAACCAGTTTGAGATGATGTGATCTTTCTGACATGGTGCATTATCCTGCTGGAAGTAGCCATCAGAAGATGGGTACACTGTGGTCATAAAGGGATGGACATGGTCAGCAACAATACTCAGGTAGGCAGTGGTGTTTAAATGATGCTCAATTGGTACTAAGGGGCCCAAAGTGTGCCAAGAAAATATCCCCCACACCATAACACCACCACCACCACCAGTTTTTACCGTTGGTACAAGAGATCCATGCCAAATTCTGACCCTACCATCTGAATGTCGCAGCTGAAATCGAGACTCATCAGACCAGGCAACGTTTTTCTAATCTTCTATTGTCCAATTTTGGTGAGCCTGTGTGAATTGTAGCCACAGTTTCTTGTTCTTAGTTGACAGGAGTGGCACCCAGTGTGGTCTTCTGCTGCTGTAGCCCATCTGCTTCAAGGTTCAACGTGTTGTCCGTTCAGAGATGGTATTCTGCATACCTTGGTTTTAACAAGTGGTTATTTGAGTGACTGTTGCCTTTCTATCACCTTGAACCACTCTGCCCATTCTCCTCTGACCCCTGTCATCAACAAGGCATTTTTGGTCCGCACAACTGCCGCTCACTGGATATTATCTCTTATTCGGACCATTCTCTGTAAACCCTAGAGATGGTTGTGCCTGAAAATCCCAGTAGATCAGCAGTTTTTGAAATACTCAGACCAGCCCATCTGGCACCAACAACCATGCCATGTTCAAAGTCACTTGAACTTCAGCAAGTCTCTTAGAGTAGATGCCTAAATGCATTGAGTAGCTGCCATGTGATTGGCTGATTAGCTCTTTGTGTTAACAAGCAATTGAACAGGTGTGCCTAATAAAGTGGCCGGTGAGTGTATAAATATACCATGTTATGTATAGGCCCTCTTAACCACATCATTTCTTATCTTTAATTGAATTTCCATTTCCCATTGTCCTTGCACAGATCCAAGGGGAGGCCATAGCATCTGTAGCAGCAGGGAATGGGTCAGCGGTGAAGTATCGAGGTGTGTTTGGCACCATCAGTACCATGGTGCGCACAGAAGGACCCAGGAGTCTTTACAGTGGACTGGTGGCAGGACTCCAGAGGCAGATGAGCTTCGCCTCTGTYCGCATTGGCCTCTACGACTCTGTAAAGCAGTTCTACAMCCGAGGCTCTGAGCGTAAGTATCTGTGAATGTGTTTTTATTGTTGGTCTAGTTGTGAAAGTCCTGCGAMAATCACCTCYCTCTWCTCTGGTTCAGATGTAGGCATYRGCAYTCRRCTGCTTGCGGGATSTACCACAGGTGCCATGGCGGTTGTGTTAGCTCAGCCCACAGATGTGGTGAAAGTCCGCTTCCAGGCACAGGCCAGGTCCACTGGGCTCGCCAGACGCTACTGTAGCACCATAGATGCTTACAGGACCATTGCTAGGGAAGAAGGCATTCGTGGCCTATGGAAAGGTATAGATTATTTTATGATAGCTGTGAGWATCCTTGAGGTTATTCTCCARTTTCTTACAATAAATGGGCTTATTTTACTCCGTCRCRCAGGTACAGCTCCAAACATTGTACGGAACGCGACAGTCAACTGCACAGAACTGGTGACGTACGACTTCATCAAGGATACACTTCTAAAGTCCACGCCCCTGACAGGTGAAACAATGGCTGCACCCAACATAATCCAGTGGATTTTAGTGTTTCTTTTCCTGGGACACTAATTTACAGCCTTCGCTCCACAGACAACCTGCCCTGCCACTTTCTATCAGCCTTCGGTGCAGGGTTATGCACGACAGTCATCGCTTCGCCTGTCGATGTGGTCAAGACAAGATATATGAACTCTTCTCTTGGCCAGTACAGAAGCACCCTCAACTGTGCTGCTACCATGATGACCAAAGAAGGACCACTTGCCTTTTATAAGGGGTAATTTTTGACCGCATGGACGATGTCTGAATGATGAATGAGGATTGAAATGAACAGGAAAGGAATGGCTGTGAACAAAATGATGATAATATGACTATTTTTCTCCTCTTAAGGTTCATGCCCTCTTTCTTACGCCTGGGCTCCTGGAACGTGGTGATGTTCGTGACATACGAGCAGCTGAAACGGGCCATGATGGCAGCAAATCACAACTGCACAACAATTCTGTGATTGCTGCCCGGCGGAAGGCTGATGTTGTTGCTGAGAGATTATGTTTACCGATTTCTTTGCCTTTTGTTTCCTCCTTTGTGTTTATTGACTCAAAGTGTCAATGTTATCTTGTACAAATTGCTCTTTGGTGTATATGGAAAATAAAAGTGATTACAATAATCATCAGTCTAGGATAGAAACAAGTATTAAAATGTGATCAGTATTTATTTCAAAGCTTGTTGTATCAGATGCTTTCTGTCAGCGGAGAGCTTCTCTGGGAACTGGATGTCAAAGTGAATGATGAGGTCTCCTCTCTGTGAAGGATCCTGGAACAGCGGCATTCCCTCTCCAGGCACCACTTTTCTATATGTAAAACTGAAACAACAAATCAGAGACAGGAAAATGATTATTGATGGAGATGAGGCACAAAGCCAAAACAAATCCTTGTAGAAATGTTCCTGTTTAACTGCATGGGTGATGTATACTATTTGAATTGATCTCTCTCATTTCTCATCTCTCCCAGTTCTGATATTTACATTTAAATTATTCATCTGAGATCAATGTCAAATTAACAGTACACTGAATTCCACAATATAATTCAGATTTCCACATTGGCCCCAGTATAGAAAAGCACTTACTGCACTATGTCGTTGATGGGAATATTGAGTAGCCTGCCATCTAGCGTCGGCACATTCACAGAGAAGCCAGTCAAGGCCTGTGGGAGATGGTTGTTTTTTTGTTTTAGTGTTTTTTTTATATCAAATCTTTAGGTTTAAGTGATAATGAAAACAACTGTTACATGACTCACCATCTCCAGAGAGATTTGGAGCTTGTAGATCAGGTCATCATGTTGTCTTTTAAACAGAGGATGACTCTTCTGCCGCACAATGAACACAATATCTGCAGGAATGCTGTTTGGTCCCTGCAATTTAATCAGATTAAAAAGCAAAAAGTATTGGATGACAATCATTTCAGCATGCTTGAGTTTACATACAGTCTATGTGCCTGAGTTTACATACAGTCTATGTGCCTGAACTTATATACAGTCTATGTGCCTGAGTGACTAGATGTTAGAGGGGGATCTTCTGAGCACACCTAGTGGCGATCCTTTGGAAATTCCACCATCCCACAACAGACGGCATCAAAAACTTCTACTCAGGTCTTGTGAGAAATACATTATTGTGAAAAAAATTTAAGTAGGTAAAAGTGAATATATTTTATTTGTGCAATGCTTTTCACATTAAACAACATACAAGAACTAAAGAAGATGAAGACTGTCTCTAAAGTCTGACCTCGTTTTTAAGATCAAAAATACTCATCCTAAACTCAAACAAATTGAGGAGGCATTTCAAGTCAAAGATTATTTTCTCCTTTTCTCTTCCTCTCTCATAAAAGTCATACTGATGTTGACCTTGACATGACTGATGAAATAGCCACAGGTTAACAGTTTTTAAAAAACAAACCATTATAACACTGATTGATGAGTTCACTCAATTATTACACTGCTAGAGACAATAGATCGGTTGAGTTGTTGGTAACAATTTTTAGAGCAGTTTTAAATATCAACAGAAAATAATGTTTAGTTACTCTACCTGATCTCCCTCTTTGGAGAAGACAATTCTTGTGCCTTCTTTCCATCCAGGACTGACATCTATAGAGAGGATCTTGTCCTTGATACTGGATGTGTATCCACCCTCATTCATAACCTGTTCAAGAAATAAAGCAAAACATAAATGATTATTTAAATATAACAAGTAGTTGATTTGTGTCCATGAGTTGCTTTCAGTGTAACTTTTGAATGTTCTTACCCTGCGAGATATCTTAATCTTTTTTGTGCACCCGTGGAACAGATCATCCAGGGACAAATGAAGGTCTCTCTCTATTGGGGGGTCTTGTGTCTTCACCACCACCGGTTGTAGGCCACCAAACTGAAGTGGTGCATCATTTGTATAGAAGACTATTGATAAATAAATTAAGCAAAACAAAATCTGAGCAACGTTTCTGGTATTAAGTTTGACACACATATTTACTGTACGCCATTTGTTTCCTTTTTTTTTCACCTGCAAATGGGTTGTCACCTCCAAAGAACTGTTTAAATGTTTTTTCTGGATTCCCATGGTAGGCATATTTAGATGACCAGGCCCCACCGCTGCCAAACTCAGGTGGAATCCCACCCTTTAGTCCCTCCTCACCAAACTTGTCATAGGTTGCCTTTTTCCGAGCTGTAACAAAGAAAACAGATGTTGACACAGTCTGTTAGTACACTGTGGCAGGGCACTGGTCATAATAGTCATTCTACTGTAAGAGGAGGGCTCCTCTCCTGTGGAACCAGCTCCACACCACCTCTACATTTAAGGTTAAACGTTCCTTTTTGATAAAGCCTATAGTTAGTTCTGGATCAGGTGAGTCCTAAACCATCCCTTAGTTATGCTGCTGTAGGTCTAGGTCCATGCACAGAACACTTCTCCCCTTCTTTACTACATGTAACTTTGTAACTACCTACTCTGCACTACAATCAACCACAACTACCTCCTCTTGCACCTCTCGTTGCACTTTTTTGTATAATTTTTAACGTCCTGTAAACATGTTTATTTTATTGTTATATTTTATTTCTTTTTTTTTTTACTAAATGCACCTTTCAGTGGTAGCTGCTGTAATTTCGCCATGCTTCATTGTGTGATGACACTAAAGGCATTCTATTCTGTTCTATTCTATGTCACTAACTTCCACAGTCTCTCTCTGCAGGTATCTCTGACTCCAGAGCTGCAGGACTCAGACAACAGTTATTATCATTATCATTATTAATCTCATCATTATTTTTAATATTATGACAAAGCCACCGATGTAAACCAACCTCAGCTTCACTCTTGTGGTTACTTACGGTCGCTGAGAACCTCGTAGGCTTCCCCCAGCTGACTGAACCTGTCTGTGCTTCCTGCTTCTCTGCTGCTCTTTGGGTGAAACTTCAACGCGAGTCGTCGATATCTGGCAAAATAAAAGAGGTAGAAATGGACAACAAAACAAAGAACAGCTGATATTAACGTGTGTGGAAGGCTTCAGGTTTTCAGGGTTGTACTTTAACGAGAGAGACCTACGCCTTTTTGATATCTGCGTCTGTGGCGCTCCTGTTAATCTCCAGGGTTTTGTAGTAGTCGTCAGCCATGGTGGAGGTGGATATTCAAAAGTCACTGCAGGACTCAAAGCGACATTAACTCAAGCAGCGGCGGCTGTTGAGCTTGGTTTCCAGGGCAACAGCTGCATGCGAGGTCTCGCGAGACTTAGAGGCGAAAGACGAAACTAAATATCAGACTCATGTTTGAGAAAAGTACAATCAAATAATAATTGTGTGTCTTATGGATGAGTCACAGTGATCAATGCTCGCGGGAGTCCATGGAATATTTTTATATCTATCTGTTTATATTTACCAGCTTGTGAGGTTTTGTGGATTTGTCAATAAAAAAAAAAAATATATATATATATATATATATATATTATAATTTGCCGTGTGTGTGTTTATGTGCCCTGCATTGTGTGCATGGTCTCTGTGTTACAATGTTACTTGATTTCATATTATAGTTGAGCAATATACTGTATATAGTTTATAAATATGCACCATGTGAGCAGAATACAAATACAAAAGAATCAGATTTTACTGTCATCGTTTCAACCTCCACAGAAGTCAGGGCCACAAGATTGTGTAATGGTTTTACCTTCAAATGAGAAATTATCAAAATTCCACACTAATTAATATGCAGTGAACATGTGGTTTTGCCTCAGTGGGAGTTTTGCAGCACAGCCTTGCATCAGGTTCATATATGTGACTGCGATTGTCCTAATCTTTCTCTTCCTGTGAATACTAATGCCACACCAGACTCTGGCACATACTTGCACATGAATAATGGCTGAATCCCATTTAGGTGTGCTGAGGCATGGCACATTTTAGAGCCATCCTTACTGCCATTAGTTTCAAATGAGTCTTTCCTGCAGAGACAAGTTGAAATGTCTGCAGTGAAATTAGCCTGTTAATTGAGCACCAGCATATACAGAAATACCTGCAGCACAGTTAACTATACGCTGGTTAGGACATCATTCTGCTGCATGACCATAGCCACATTTCAAGCCTTGCTCTGATAGTATGTGCTTCACACATCACACTGCTTTGCCACTGAAACGCAAGCTGAAGACAGATCAACACATCTGCAATACTCAAGAGTATTTTATCTTTGATTCATAGTTTAGATTTAAAAAATCACCAAAAAAAGACACTAAATCCAAATTATACATATATATATTTACTAGAATGGCGATCATTATAACAAATCATAACTCCAGAAATGGCCCTACATCAAACCCCACTAAATTACACACTCATAAACATCTGTCCCATAAACATTAGATTTTTATCATTGACATATATATAAATGATTTAATGGGAAATCAAGGAAAATGTTGAAAAAAAAGCTCACAATGATAATGAAGAGTTGAAACAAACAGGGTTGGAAACGTGACCTCCTTGGCAGAGGTATACGAAATGACATTTCTGCAGTGATGACGAGTCACTGAAGCTTAATTTCATTGAACTGATCTGAATTTTTATTTGGATCTGGAGCAAATTACATCCACATAAAAGTCAGTCCCCTTAACATGCCTGATATTTTTCCCATCAACATCCATGACATATTCAGCAAAATCAACAAAATAAAATGCTGGGTTCTTTTGACCGCA